AGAATGTTCTTTTAGACATTCACCAAAAACTACTCATCAGAACCTTTGAGATGTGGACTATTTATTCTACATGAAGCACAGATTAGCCTTTGCTGCTGCAAGTTGTTTGTCTAAATTATGATTCTCTGAGAGAATGCTACAGTCTTAGCAAAATAAATAGCACGGTTAAAATGGATTAATTGTAAAATTACACTATCCAAATTGACAAGTTTGCTACACAAATGTCCACTCAGGGAAAGAAAGGTGGGACTTGGACATATAGTATGAGAGTGATGTGAATTTTAAAGTTCATTTTCTGTATATTCCTTTGAGACGAACTTTTTTCCCTGTTCATCTTGTGCACACATTCCTCATCTGCTCCCCTCCTCCACAAATTACAGTGCAGTTACTGTGGTTCAGCACTTGTGGGTTATAATTCAGATTTGTGACTAATATTTCTAAAGAGCTTTTCAGAATATAATTCTTCAATCAGATTTAGTGTTTTTACTGTTACTTTCAGAAGATTTATTAATTGCTAAAGATGTGGTTTTAGTTTCAAGATTTTAAATAGTGAGTAGCAAAATGCTACATTGATAGTTGATTTTTTTGTTGTCTTTCAAATAAATAAAAAGATTGTGTGTTAACATTGTCTATAATGTCCTTAAAACTTTGATATGTTATTTTCCCAAGCTTCTTAAGAAAATTCTGATCTTGCATGCTATGAACAAAAAAAATCACTGGAGTGTTTTGTGAGGGCAACTATCACCCCCAGAGACTGATTCTGTGGCGTCCATGTGGCTGTTGAACCTGTTTGAACGTTTGATTGGGGAAATCTTTTAAGTTTTAGAAGGTAGTAGAAGCAGAGCAGTCTTGTCAGAGCTGTCAAACTTCTTGGTTTGGAATCCATACTAGCAAAGGTGAAGGCAGTTTCACCCACAGTTCTCTACAACAGCAGCTTGTATCATCTGAGTTGTGATGTCTGTAACTGTCCATGAACTGCTATTGTTATTTCACATAAACAACTCTCTCTGAGATAATGCTTGTCATTACTGCCTCTCAAAAGCATAATCCAAATATACTGTATTTATGACTGCAATCAGTTATTTGAAAATTTCAAAATGGAATCACATGAGCTTACTTTTTTTGTTGTTCCAGAAGTGTAACAGGGTAAATTTGAGCTCTCTATGCAAAACCAGTGAGGGCTAGTGTAAGTTTGTGCTGCACAATGGTGTAAGTTAATGGAGTTCTTTTCCATGGTGTATTAATGACATTAAGAGACTAGATCTCTGTCCTAAAGTCTACAAGATAACAGCTCATGGGAATGTTACTTTTTATTGTTGTTGTTGTTGTTTCTTACTAATTAGCTGACTTTAGGTGAAGTGTGTTAGTGTGAAAAATGCCAGGGAGACTAGAGATGTAGTATTACCTGGAGAGAAGCATAATGACAACTCTTTGGCATAGGTTTAGTTTTTGTTTTGGAAAACTTCAAAGCTCCCAGTCTTCATTGAATGGCAGTCCCTGAGAAAGGATGAAATTAAATCTGATTAAAAAGTTTAGCATCTCTGTTGGGAAGGATGGACAAATATGATTATTCATAAATAATACATCCAGGATGAGAACAGTTCTCCCAGCTAGCCGGATGACACCCCTGCCTTTGGATGAGTCCTGAGGTGAAATGGACTGTTTCATCCCACCCCCCAAAAGATGTGTGGTTCACCCAGCACCTCTATCCCTCCCCTAAAACATCAGTGTCTGTAACCCCATTGGCCCATGCCTTGTTCCAACCCACCTTGAAGCCCCTTTATAAGGAGGCTTCGAGGGGCCATGCGGTCTCTTGGAACTTCCTCCCCTCTTGGAACTTCCTCCCTCCTCTTGCAGCTTCCCCTCTCTTAAGAGCGTCCCTTTGTCTCTCCCCTCCCCCACCCTCTCAGGCCCGGCCACGTGTGCGCCTGGGAGCACGAGGCAGAACCTTCTGCACCCCCAATAAACCTCTTTCCTCAAGAGCAAACTTCAGAGATCTCCGCCTCCATTCATCGTGCTGGAGCCTGCTATTTTCTACACATCTCCTTCTTAGATACCTGAAATAAAGAGCAGTTCTCCAAACCATTCCTCTCCTGAAGTGCAACTGATATATGCAGAACTGTTTTGAGTATCTGATATCTTTCTGATTCAATTGAATGATCTTTTTCCTGTGCTTCTTCTTCCTTTGGCTAAAACATGTTATTATCTCAGTGAAGGTTTATTTGTGAAGATTTTGTGCCAGTAGAGTTTTTCAGCAGTTTTGTGAGGATGTATCAGAGCTGGCTGTAGCTGCATGAAGAGGGAAACAGTGATTTCTTTTGTGAGCAAGGTGAGATGCCAGTTCAGAGTCAGCCATAGGTACTAATGGATTACTTGGTGTACTTTGTTTTTCATGGAGCTTCTCTGGCTACAAAAGCAATACCACCAAGTTGCCATACAAAGGAGCATGCTCCCACCAGGCTATGTGGATGCAATGTAGAGAGGCTCTGCAATTTGCTCCCCCTTTGCTGGAATGGTAGCGACAAAGCAAAGAAATTATTCCCTCCTTTTAAATAAACCCACTGAGAGATACTTCTTTCCTGGTTCTGATATTGGGCAGAATAAGGGACCCCGAATGAAATCTGATCTCAGAGGCAGAAATAAATTGCAACATTCAAAAGGTCTGTGTGCAACATAGTAAATGTTTTGGTTACCTTTAAATCTGTAAAGTTAGAACAGTGAGAGATCTCGGAGAAAGGCAGCTACAATTGCATCACTGCTTTACTTCCTTGAAAGTGAATGAACATGAATAAATGCTCCAGCAAAAACAGATGTTTTGATCTACATCTCTTTTTTTTTTCTTTTTTTTTTATTGCAAAACAATTGTTACAGAAATTTCAGAAAGTTCTACTGTATTAATTGCCAACTTCTGCTTTTTATTATGCATCTAAACACAGTCTAAAAGTGCATTGTGAATCCAGTAGACCTTTGGAAAGGACCATTTTCCCTAGTTATGTACATTTAGACAAATCATATTTGAAAAGCTTTGTATTAGTAGGAATTTGTTTAAAATAACATTTTAGTAATTTTTATCCCTTTATAAATGATTGTTATACACTTACAAATGATAGCCCAAATAATAAATGATTAAATAGCTATTAGTACAGAATATTGCAAACACTGTTCCAGACAGCAGTAGCAGCAAATAGACTCTCATCATGTACAACAACTGCAGTGGTGGAAAAAAGATATAACTTTAATACCATTTACTCTTGTGCAGGCATAGAACTATATTTCACCTCCAATTCCCTCTTCTGTCCCTTCCCCCTCCCTCCCAGATATTAAAATAAACAAGAGTTATCACTTCCCTGCAGCAGAAACAGCAGCTATTTAATAATCAAATGTTTTTCCCTAACAGTCTTTTGAAATAAATGTCGTGTGGCTCTGTGAATGATCTGAAAGCATACTGCAAAATTAAAAAGTCAGAGACTGTTTCACAACCAGACTGTCTCAATGGCTCCATCATTTGACCTCCAACTTGAAGATGATATAGTGTAATCCATGCCATGACTCAAACTAATATTGAGTTAGAAATGTAGAATAAATTAATTTCCTGACAGAAATCAGAGTATGCCACTGAAATCAGTGGATTTTCTGCAGATTTGCACCAGCATCGGTAAGACTGTAATTGTAGTCAGTCATGGAGAAGAAAAGCCTGTGTGACCTGTAGTGTTCTGTGTGAGCTGTATGACTGGCTATAAAGCAGGGTGCAGAAACAAAGTCCCTTTGCATCCAGTACTACTGCTCATATGCCAGTGTGTGGCAAGGACAATGAATTCCATCTAGAGTAGTGAAGGGTTTCACTAGGTAAGCAGACACCCCCACTGTTTCACTTCTTATCCCAGTTTGGACAGTGATTTTATCTAAGATGGTTGAAGGGAAAATTCATGCTAGGAATCTTACCAATTTTTTTTTTTAAGAAGATGATCTATACCTAGTGTCTCTCAACAGAACTGAAAATGTGGCCTTTATTGAACCAAATATGCATATTTGTGCAAAAAATGCAAATATATTCTCATTTTAAAGCAGGGGAAGACATCACAACTACTTCCAAGGGAAAGGGTTCCAAGGGAAGTCCAGGAAAAAACATCTCACACCTTCCCTTTGGGTGATTATCAGTGTTTAACCTGAGCAATATAATAAGACATTTATGCTTGTTTTAAAACCCGCACCACACATTTTCTGAGAATTTTGTTTCACTGGCTCGCTCTAATACCTTTGATGACTTCTGCTCTCAGGACAGACACTGGCTTGCACGCACTGCAGTCATTGGACTAAGGCCGTGTGCTGCTACCAGCACTTTTTTTTGAGCAGTTATTCATGTAGTTGCATTTTCCATGCATTGACAGTTCCTAAGAAACAAATCGTTTTCTTCTCATACAAAAAATATACCTAAC